CGTAAAACACTTACCGAGAGAGAGAGAGAGAGAGAGAGAGAGAGAGAGAGAGAGAGAGAGAGAGAGAGAGAGAGAGAGAACGAGCGGGCAAGAAAGAGAGAGCGAGAACAAGAGAGAGCGAGAACAAGAGAGAGCGAGAACAAGAGAGAAAAAAGAGGTAGAGAGATAGAGAGAAATAAGGAGATAGGAGAATAGATACACATACACACACAAAGAAAAAAAAACACAACATTCCCCCCCCCCTCTTTACACACACACTTATCCAACGCCTACTGAACTCGTTTCCTGCCGGTCACAGGTGTGTAGAACAGACACCTTTATACTTTGTGACGTAATCAGATGTTTAAAATTCTGATGTCGCTATTGATCACCTGTTGCCGCCTACCCATTTACTCACAGGCGTTGAAAACACAATCACAGCTCGCGTGCTCTGTGGTATCTTTCATAAACTCCAACTTCCGAGTTTTGGCACTTTTAGTAACAGCTGGCTCGGCTATAGAAAAAGCTGCCATGTAATGCCAACATAACCCGGTTAATACCTGTCGTGTTCTGTGGAATTTCAGTCTTATTTGGTACTAACTCCTGTTTTGCAACGAGAATCCAATGTTTCAAAGTGCTTTAGGTCGAAATCAGACAAATCATAATTTATACAGTACGAGACGGCACTTATAGTGCGGTCAAACATTCGCGGCGCAACCCATTGTCAATTAATCCTTAACTATCGAGCATAAACTCACCAGCTTTTGCATAATCACTTGTACCAATTTGTCTTAACAGATCTATGTTATTTTTGTAAACACCTGTTAGTTGTATTCTAGAATATTCCTTAATAAATACTTATAAACAATCCAAGAGGGTGGTTTCTAAAGGTGAACAGCTCAGGCAATATTGCATTAACACAGATTCTGTATAACAAGATAGTTCACTCCTCTCTTTGAACTAAAAAAAAGTGTCCTAAAAATCCGCTGGCGCCCTTTTCGAAAAAGCGCCCACTTTGCAAACAGAGTTACCCTACATGTGTGAGAAAAAATCAAAGTGACACTAACACGTTTTTGTATAAATTATAATTAAAATTTCGGATAAACGCCTTTTTAAATGGTTACGCTGACAAAAATCCGCTTCGGGTGGAAGGGGCGACTGTGTTCTTTGTTCAGTTTGGCTGTAGAACGAGAGGCGAGAGGTCATTAAAATAAAATAAACTCAAAACTCCGCCCTGAGCGAACCGGAACAGATGATGCGCATAGGGATGCTATTCCTATTCTTCTTCTGGAGAAACGAAAGAGAGCTTTAAAACAAAGACTGCAGCGACCTCTGAACCCATGCGCGGACTTCCTCGGACACTTTTTGGGCAGAGTGAACTATCTTGTTATGCACAATCTTTGGCATTAATTAAAAGCAAGACCGTCTTTTTTTTCTAACCACGACATTACGCTTATATTGAACTCACGATTTGAGAACCTTTAGTGTGAAAAAATGTTCATAATAAAATTAATTTCTTGTAACAAGTTTTTGCCACCAAAAAGTGTCATTGGTGAGCTGTGACGTAGGCGATAAGAGTATTCAAAATGTGTGTGAGAAACGGGAATCCCATTTTCCGCGTGACAGAGACTGTATTTTATTTTATGTATTTATTTTATTTTATTTTTTTGTTGATGTATTTTTTGTATGTATTGTATGTATGTATTGTGTGTATGTATTGTGTGTATGTATTGTATGGTGCTTGCAACTGCCTGAGGTCATATGAGCGCGCAGGACACATTAAACATTCTCAGTTCGTACGAAATTTTAATCTTGCCAGGGAGGCGGCCGAAGCCTACTCTTATCGATTTTAGACCACCAAGGGATCTTAAACGTGCGCAACTTGCACACAGGACTTCCGAGATTTTCCGCCCGTGTCCGAGAAGGCTAGGTGTAGATCTTTCCTACCAAAAGATCAGGGGCGTGGCTGAAAGACAGCAGTAAGAAAGAGCCAAGGAGAAGCAGTACAAAGGCTGCAGAAAGAGTCAGGAGCCCACAGTAGTGGCACAGGAGGTGAGGGGCGTGGGGCAGAAAGTGCAGACGAAATGAAAGCAGACGACACATCATTGCTAGAGAACTGGAAAAGATGTGAAAGAAAACAATCTTAAAGAAGAAAAATGTCCGTCACTACCTGGATTCGAACCTGGGGCCTCTTTAATGAGATGCAAAGATCTTAACCTCTAAGCTACGAAAGCCCCTGACGGAGATTTAAAGTAGATCTAGTACTTTACATAAATTTATGAAGAAAAGATGTAGTTTTTTAATCTTGCCCCAATTGTAGAGGAAAAATATGAAATTAAGTTCAGGAAAATTGATACAGACTGCTGGGCAAAGTATGGGTAACATTGATTCACCCATTAAAGCGATATTTGAGGATAAGTTGTGCCTCACATTTCTAACAACACTATTGCTCGAAAACTACAACTGGCATTTAGAGGAATTATGTATGACATAATTATAGGGGAGACACAGTGAGGATGAGCTGATTTCGCTTGGAATGTGGGCAACTTTCATCCTTAGATAGATAGATAGATAGATAGATAGATAGATAGATAGATAGATAGATAGATAGATAGATAGATAGATAGATAGATAGATAGATAGATACATAGATAGATAGATAGATAGATACATACATACATACATACATACATACATACATACATACATACATACATACATACATACATACATACACATACATACATACATACATACATACATACATACATTCATACATACATACATACATACATACATACATACATACATACATACATACATACATACATACATACATACATACATACATACATACATACATAGACAGATAGATAGATAGATAGATAGATAGATAGATAGATAGATAGATAGATAGATAGATAGATAGATAGATAGTATACGGTTGGGTGCATATTATTTTGTCGTCGAAAGCAGAGGAGATGAGTTCGATTCCCGCCAACGAGGAAACTTTTTTTGGAGAGGGGCTTGGTTGTTGTTTTTTTTTTATAAGATAACCCCCCCCCCCCCTTTCTGTTTGCTAGGATGCGATGTTGTATCGCACTCAACCTGGCCAACGGATAGGGGTACAGTCGAAGCAGCCCGCCTTCTAAATGGTCTTTATCTTGTTGATTGAGGCATAAAAATATGACAACTTTTTTCTCTCACCTACTGGTCAGTGAATAACTCAAAATCGCAACCCCAGAGTTACAAAGTTCTATCTGCTCAGTACCTAGTTTTGGGTAATTTCATGTCAAAAATTTTGAGTTTCACAATACTTCAAGCTTTTGCGAATGCAATCTTTGAATATCTAGATAACGATTCCAAAATAATCTTACGCTTTTGATAGAGGAGACAGGGCATTTGATTTCTCACCTCAAGGTCTCAGTAAATCAGAACAGCCAAAAATGTCAGATGTTTTGTGATTCTGGGATAGCGAAATGTTAAGGATCCCACTTCACTTAGACCCCTCCCAGTGGGATTTTGGAGGGTCAATGATATCAGGGGGCGAAGGCTGACTTGTTTGACAGGGTAATCAAAGTGAAACGGGTCCAGATATGGCCTGGAGATATCACACAAGAACCTTACTCGAATCGGGGACTCAGAGTTGTGAATGAAATAAATCCGGAATTCATAGTGTATGTTCAACCGCCAGAATAATCGGGAAAGTATCGTAATAAATATCAATTCCAACTGAAATTAAATTAAACTTTAGATGTGAATACACAAACACAAAGCTAAGAAGCAGAGATGTCAGTATTAGATCTATATGTTATAGATCTACCAGTGAGGCTAACTCTTTGATAGAACATGACAATTGTTTTTATTTTTTTTATTTCACATTTGGCTGTTTTTGTCTAGCCTTTCGCGGCCAGGAGGCGGTGTCATAATCGAGGTCACGATCTGATTATAGGACGGTCAAAAGTCGAGGAAAAAAAACAAGCACTTGCAGTAGTCAAGAGATTATTAGGAGTTAGTTCCCCTCACATTTGTGAGGTAGACTCGACCAGTGTAATAGTTAGCTTACATAATCAGAGGTTGTGACTGCTTATAACTGTGGCCCCAAAGAGGTGAACAGGGTATTTGTCGCAATGAAACAGTTTTGACTGCTATGCACATGTTCCCTTCAACTTTATTGGTAGACTCTTCCAGCCTCACTTTAAGCTTACTTAATCAAAGCTTGTGACTGCTTATGGAGTGGCCCAAAAGGAGTGAACAGGCTATTTCTGTGTCAGTGAAAC